GTATATGACTTGATGGACCGAAACGTCTTAACTTGCTCTTGCCTCCTATACTACTCTTTCTGAATTCCATCGCATCTTTGCCACCTGCGCTTCCACGGTCAACCTGGATGCTGCAATATGCGTAAGCACGCGAGTGGAATTTGTTTTGGGGACGATACGACACTAGATCGGTGAAGAACACCGTTATAAGCATAGTTACTACTTTCAGTATTTTGAAATTATCAGACGAAAAAATTTCAGGTAGAGAGTACCAAAGCTGTGAACATCAGGCTTTTGAACGACGACGTGAAGAGCAGCGTAACAGAGACTGGAGTTTTGCCACGATGCAGAACCATCTGGATGAGTTAGTCTTTCTTTGATATGCTCATAATTCACCAGTTTTTGATATGCTTATAGTTTATTTTCTTTTTTTTTGCCTCTGCCGACTAACATTCCACATTCCCAAAAGTACAGTTTTGGCCAAGAATGCCGAATTGTGCTTTTGGAAAATTTTCAAAGACAGATAAAATTCACAAAAATTTTAATACACTTCCTTAGCGGCATACTCAGCTACCAAAAAAATTTCATGCTTTTTTCTTGTTTTATTTGAAAATGGCTTATTTTCAACGTTTTTTTTAAAGCCTATTTTGGGTTTTTCTTGAGCTAGTCTAATTTGGCCCATTTGTCTTTTTTTTTCCAACCAGGCAACTTGGAACTTCCCGAGTTAATTTTGGTACCATTTCAGTTAACTCCCGTTAGCCGAGTGGTAAATTAATTCTTTAGTCATTAAAATAATTGCAGTTATTGACGATTAAGAGGTGGAAAGAGCGAGTAAGGGAGTTGACAAAGAGTAGGCACAGGCGGATTCTGGATGGACTCCTGAGGGAGGGAGGGGTGGTAGATGGGGAGGTGAGTCTCCTCACATCCTGGAACCATGAAACAAGTAGAGGAATGGAGTTGTAATATTGCTACCTAGAGTTACTTTAGGTTTTAGTTTTAGCTTTAGACACGGACTTTTGCAGCACAGGTGCCCGTGCCGCTAGATCCGTGAAGGAGGGAGGAAGGGGGGAAACCCGAACAGATGAGGTAAATGAAAGAAAGTAATTCTGAAGAGAAATATTTAGCCCGATGCTTTCACATTGTACTTTATACACCTCCCTAACCAACTTCACGCACCAGAATTTTTCTTCTGTGTTCTTAGATTCGCCTCTGCCCTCCTCCCCCCTCCCCTTCCCTTCCCTCCCCGCTCCCTTCCCTCCGTTTTCCTCCTCCCGTCCCCCTCTACCTTAATATTTTTTTCGATCGTTTCATAATAAACGATTTTGTCAATCCCTTCTCCGCTACGTTCCTCCACTTCAACGCCCCGCTGCCTGCAGTCTGTATGTTAATGCACTGTTGCACACTAAGAGCCCATACTCTCACACGCACTTGACTTAACTGTCAAATTTTGCTCGAGCCTGACAACAATTTGCTGCATGCATTTGCACTTTTTTCTCCAGGAATTGGCGAAGAAATTCACCACCGTTAAGGAATAATTCGAATTCTGTCGCCTATCGAATGCCCAGAGCATGTTTTAGAAGAGGCGGCGGAAGTATGTTCTTTTTTTTCTCTCTCTTCAATTTATTTATCACTATAAATCTTACAGTGTTTTTTTTTTCCAATGAACGAATGCACTTAGTAAGTAGAATGAGACGCACTTTCTTAGCCCAAAATCCCCCGAAGATTTTCGAAAAATCCACGATGATTTCTAAGATTTTTTTAAATCTTGTACAAAAATGCACTTTTTTCGCCCAAAAATCCTGTCAGTTTTCACACAGTTTGGAGATTTTTCCTCAAAATTTGTGAAAAAATTTATTAGTTTTCAAGTTTTACCCACAATTTTTTTTTAATAATTTCTTTTTCACTCCATATATTGCCTGCATTAGCATTAACTTTAATTTTTACTCGATAAAAAAATGCTGCCGATAACTTTGCTCGATAAAAAAAAACAGCATTTTTCACTGCAATAAGACAGATGCAGGCGGTGACCCATAATGAATAC